TCTCTCTCTCTCTCTACCTCCCTTGCTCTTCCCCTCTCTCTCTCTCCTTTGCTAGTTCTTTCCCTCCCTCTCCCTCCCTCTCTCTCTCTCTCTCTCTCTCTCTCTCTCTCTCTCTCTCTCTCTCTCTCTCTCTAATGGTCCGTGTATTGATAGTGTTGGAAAGTACAGACATGCAGGATTTAGAATGCAAGGTCTAGCAAACCAGGATGACAATCAGACAAACAAGACCAACCAGTCACACAACTACCACACCACCACCCTCTCTAGAGCTCCAAAAAAGGCTCAACTACCGCGAAGCAGTCCCCAAGGTGCAGCTCCTGCCCTATGCCTCCTACAGGTGGGTTTTCTGCCGCCGCTGCCTCACCCAACTTAAGTAGGAGTCCCACGGATTGAGCCCTCTGAAGAGCCACCGACCACCGTTGCCTGAATTGGTGCAGAAACTTGGCGGCATAGTAGGATTTTGAATCGGCGTTGAAGTGGCGCCGAGCCGTTGTGTCTGCCAGGAGCTTGAGGAAGACAGGGACCTCGGCGCATGGGCAGCCGTAGGTGTCTACTGCCAGTGGGAAGAAGCCAACCGTCTCTGGGCGGTTGGCGTAGTGCTTGATTTTCTTATCGGCTTGTTCACGTGCCGCCCATCCCCGGCCCTTTTGTGCTTCCGGGTCCCTAGTGCTGATAGGGTCAGTGATGGTAACGTCGCAGATGTAAACCGCCCCACTGCTTCTATCGGTCATGGTGAAGTCGGCCGTTTGCTCCTCGATAGGGCAGTAGGCGGCCGACTCCCTGTGTACTATAAACCCCGCGTCTTGCGCCATGCTAACGCAGGCGTCCCGCAGCTCATTGTGCGTGTTTGTGCGGTGCTTGCCTGTGCCGCAGCGGAGCAGGTGGTTTGGGAGGCGGGGGTCGGTGATAGCCGTGTGGTCCGCGCAGTCACAGTTCTTGGGAGTTGAAAACGGTAGGCCGAGACGAAAGCGTACCGCGTTGGCGAAGTGCACTGGCCCTATCCGCCTTGCGGGAGCGATGGGGATCGCGGTGAGCCAGTCGCCTGTGCCGTAGCCAATCATTGAAAACATCCGCTGCGTGTGACCAGCAAGCGGATTCGGCTTCATGCGCCTCGTCGCCTGCACCTGCTTTGCGTATCTGCTTCCATGGACTTTGAGTCCTAGCACGTGTTGGAGCCGGATGTCAGAACGCTCAAGCCGCTCCTTCTCCAGTATCTCCCGCGCATCTAGCGGCAGTGCCTCCTCACACTCGGTCAGCCATGTGTGTAGCGGTGTGCTGTCAACCCGCGGCAGTAGCATATGGTTCCGTGCTAGGGTGAGAGCGTTATCTTCTTCCAGCGGTAGACAGCTGAGATACAGCGCCGCCTGCGTAAAGCTGGCTGCGAAACCATAAATCCCCTCAACTAGGGGGTCTGTGATGCCCAGTCCTCCTAACGATGGCGGCAGCGACGCTTGCTCCCAAACCCGCGATTGTTCGGTTCGACACGTCGGAACGCGGATATCGCACGATGTGAGGAGCGTGGCGAGCAGATCCCTACCCCACTGGCTCCATGTATCACGGGGGAGGAGATGGAGTGGTGTCGTCCTGGTGAGGTATGCAACTCGTCTCTCTCTCTCTCTCTCTCTCTCTCTCTCTCTCTCTCTCTCTCTCTCTCTCTCTCTCTCTCTCTCTCTCTCTCTCTAATGGTCCGTGTATTGATAGTAGTTGAAAGTACACACATGCAAGGTATAAGGCAAGCAAATGAAAACACAGTGCAACATCACCTACGCCTCTTGTGCTACCCCCACCCTTTTGCCCCACTCTAGAGCTCCAGGAGTGGTTCCACTACTGCAAAACAGTCCCCCAGGTGCAGCTCATGCCCAATGCCCCCCACCGGAGGGTTCTCTGCCGCCGCCGCCTCGCCCAACTTCATTAGAAGCCCCACGGATTGGGCCCGTTGCAGGGCCACGGACCAACGCTGCCGGAACTGGTGCAAGAACTTGGCGGCATAGAAGGATTTGGGGTCGGCGTTGAAGTGCCGCCGAGCCGCCGAGTCTGCAAGGAGCTTGAGGAAGATGGGTACCTCAGCGCATGGGCAGCCGTAAGTGTCTACCGCCAGGGGGAAGAAGCCAACCGTCTCTGGGCGGTTGGCATAATGCTTGATCTTCTTGTCGGCCTGCTCTCGTGCCGCCCACCCCCTGCCTTTTTGAGCCTCTGGGTCCCTAGTGCTAATAGGATCAGTGACAGTGACGTCACAAATGTAAACCGCTCCACTGCTTCTGTCCGACATTGTGAAATCCGCCGTTTGTTCCTCGATGGGGCAGTAGGCGGTTGACTCCCTATGGACTATAAAGCCCGCATCCTGTGTCAGAATCCCAACCACTAGACCATTGGGATAAAAGGGCTTGTTAAGTAGCGGATCAGTGCGCCCATAACCACCCAGGCCAACATGCCTGTAACCCTTCCCTAGGATCAATCGGGGATCACCAGTGGACCTCTGACACCCCCCCGCACTGGGATGCCCGAAGTGCATACACCGGGATTCGAACCCGAGACCTTCGCTCTGATACCATGTCAGAATCCCAACCACTAGACCATTGGGATAAAAGGGCTTGTTAAGTAGCGGATCAGTGCGCCCATAACCACCCAGGCCAACATGCCTGTAACCCTTCCCTAGGATCAATCGGGGATCACCAGTGGACCTCTGACATCCTGTGCCATGCTAACGCAAGCATCCCGCAGCTCATTGTGAGTGTTTGTGCGGTGCTTGCCCGTGCCGCAGCGGAGCAGGTGGTTTGGGAGCCGGGGGTCAGTGATGGCCGTGTGCTCCGAGCAGTCGCAGTTCTTGGGAGTTGAAAACGGCAGGGCAAGGCGGAAGCGCACAGCATTGGCGAAAAACACTGGCCCTATCCGCCTTGTGGACGCTACTGGGATCGCCGTGATCCAGTCGCCGGTGCCGTAGCCAGTCAGAGAATACATCCGCTGCGTGTGTCCGGCGAGCGGGTTCAGCCTCATGCGCCTTGTCGCTTGCACCTGCACGGCGTACCTACTCCCGTGCACCTTCAGTCCGAGCACGTGTTGGAGCCGAATGTCAGAGCGTTCCAGCCGCTCCTTTTCTAATATCTCCCGAGCGTCTGTAGGTAGTGCCTCCTCACACCCCGTCAGCCAAGTGTGCAGTGGCGTGCTGATGTCCCGCGGCAGGAGCATGTGATTCCGGGCCTGCGTAAGCGCGGTCTCCTCTCCCAGCGAGAGGTTGTTGAGAAAGAGCGTCGCCTGGGTAAAGCTCGTCGCGAAGCCGTAAATCCCCTCGATGAGGGGGTTCGTGATACCGAGACCTCCCAGTGACGGGGGTAACGACGCCTGCTCCCAGACCCGTGTTTGCTCTGTCCTGCAGGTCGGCATGCGGATGTCACAAGCGGTAAGAAGCGTGGTGAGCAGGTCCATACCCCACTGGCTCCATCTGTCGCGGGGGAGTAGGTTTAGGGGCGTCGTCCTTGTGAGGTAAGCGACCCGCCTCGAAATGCAGCGCGTGATGAGCAGTGCCGCTACCTGTGGGTCCGTCCGTTCGATGAGTGTTAGCGGCTTTGCCATGTCGTCTAGCTGTCCTGCTAGGAAAGTCGCCGCGCCGCTGTCAGGCCCCATGAAGCTGCCTTGCAGTTGCACGCCGTCCTTTGAGAACGGCACCCCTGGAGGTAGGTGGGCTGCTTGGACTGCATTCGAGCTCCAGGCTGCACACTTCTGTGGGTTGTGCTCGAGCCCCAGTAGTGACAATTTGCTCGTGAAATGGGTAAATGCTGCTACAGTGTCTTCAGTGTCCCCTATGAATGTCACGTCGTCCGCATACGCCAAACAGGGTACACCCGCGTGAGCATCTGCAGTGTCGCGAAGCGTGGCATGTATCCCCGCCGCAAACAGTAGCGGGCCAAGTGGGTCCCCCTGGCGGACCCCGCGTTCGCTATGCAGTGGTTCGGAGTTGTAGTTGAAATCCAGGAACAGCTGCGACGGGTTACCGTAGGTTAATTTAACGAGCGGCAGGAGTGGCGAGAGTTCGGGGGCTTGTAACGCAGTGGCGATGGCCTGTCGCGAAATACTGTTGAATGCGTTCTTGATGTCAACTTGCAGAACTAGGCTGGTGGGGCGTGCATCCAGGAAAGCTCTGGCCGCGTGGATTACTGTCTCGGCGCCACCTGGCACTGCCACGCCGTACTGTAGTGGGAGGAAGAACTCGCGGGCAGCTTCGCCCATCGCTGTCAGGGCAGCCTTGGCTGCCAGCATCGTCAAGCACTCGCCGATCGCGATTGGCCGAGCACCACCCCCCGGCTTGGCCAAAGCAATGAGGCGTGATGCGGTCAGGAGGTTTGCCACCGAGCCTGGCAAATTTCCTCCCAGGATGGTGTTAACCAAGGCGTGCAGATGGGTGCGGACCGATGCATTTGTGATATACGCGTCGTGCAGGTGGGTGCTTTTGACGCAGCTCCTCCAGGATTTCGGGGCTGGGAGTGCAGACGGGAGTTGACTCCAGGGCGAGAACGGCCCGTCGAAGACTGCCATGTTTCGCCAGACCCTCGGCCCGGCTGATCACACCTGTCGCATCGGGCCTGTGTCGGGGCGGTGGTGGCATGTTGACTGCGTCGACCGTGTCCAGGTACAGTTGCTCCCATTCGCCACGCTGGAAGGCTCGGAGCCGGGCTTTGATTTTCGGCCAATCCGGCCGTTGTGACGAGGTTTGGCGAAGGGTTAGGCGCGGGAGAAATAACAGCAGGCGCCATCCTGTCTCTGACTCGGGGTTTCGCGAGAGGTGCAGTAACGGCGTCAGTAACGCCAGCGAGAACAGCTGACACAGATTTGGCGGTAAGCGCCGCGACAGCGAAGGCTGACGACTGTCGCACAGAACCGCGATGTCCCAAGTTCCGATGGCAGCGAACAGGTCTGTTCGCTTCGCCAGTTCGTCAGGCGAAAAATAGCGAGGGATCGGAGCCGCTGAGCGCGTCGCAACCCCAGTGTTCGATTGCCGATTTCCTCTAGTACGACCAGCTCGCGCCTGGGAGGCGGAGGTTGGAAGCTCCTCCGTCATCGGCATCGGGCGGTGTGCGTGTCTCCTGGGGCGTGTCCACGCGTGCTTGCTCCTCCACTGCTTCCATTCTCCCAGGGTTCTCCCTCGCCCCACCTTCCTCCTCCTCTGTCTCTTCGCCCTCGCTATCAGGTGTTGCTTCTTCCCTATAAGAGGGATCCTGCCGCTCGTCATCCTCATTAGCTGTGTCTAAGTTGGTTAAAGCTGCCCTTGCCGCTGCCTGGTATCCGTTCTCTGGACCTCCGCCAACCCCGCTTGCTGTTAGCTGATCCGTCCCGCGACTTCCCCGCGCTTGAGATGGTGATTGCTGGTGCTGACGAGCCGTCGCCAGAGCGCGCTGCCGCCTGGTCGGCTGTCGTCGCCAGGCCTCAGTCGGGGCCCGAAAAGGCGACCACGGCCTCGAAGCCTCCTGTACCGCCGGCTCCGAAACCCGCGACAGCAGACGCTGAAAAGACTCTTCCCCCCGCACCCGCGGCTCCCCTTGGCGTGGTAGAGGCTGGCCCGTCTGCTCCTGTTGAAGCTCCGCCCGCTCCGCCTGCTGCTCCCGTGCCCCTGGCTCCCGTGGTTGCGCCGGTGGCGTCTGCGCCTGCTGGGGAAGCTGCTGCTCGCTCTGTTCCTGCCCTTGGCGCACTCGTTGCACCGGCCGCTTCTGTCCCCGACGTGCCTGCGCCGGCGTCTGCTTCTTCCCCGAAGGCGGCGTCCGCCACCACTGTCGACCCGGCTCTGATGGTTGCGCCTCCTGGCGCGGACCCGGCGGCTCCCGCTCTGCTGCCGGCGGCCCCTGTAGTGCAGCCGTCTCGTCCCCCGTCGCCGGACCGCCGTCTATCCCGCCCCCATTCTCTCTCTCTCTATCTCTCTCTCTCTCTCTCTCTCTCTCTCTCTCTCTCTCTCTCTCTCTCTCTCTCTCTCTCTCTCTCTCTCTCTCTCAAGCAGTCGTGTATTGATAGGGCTCATAAGGTACAGGCATGGCAAAGCGGTGGAGCCTAACCAGTCTAGGTAAACCATGCAAGCAAGCAAACAAGCAAGCAAACAAAGAAGCAAACAAAACAACCAGACAACCAGACCGGAAGCTGTGCTAGCAGGCAGATCGAGAACAGATAAGACACCCGCTCAACCAAACCAGGCCCCCAGAGAGACCCCCTCAGATCCCAGCATCCCCCTGCCCTGTGGCCGCCCCCTGTGTCCTCACCCCACTCCTTGCCTCCCCTACTACCTCCTCCTGCGCCGCCCCCTCCAGCTCCTCCCCCTCTCTACCGCACCCCTTCTGGCCGCCTCCTTGCCTACCCCCCCCCCCCGGCTGTCTAAGGTGCCCCAGCAGGAGCGTCCCGCTCCTCATACTCGTCAGGCATCATCTGCCAGAGGTCTGCCAGGCATGGGGCCCAAGGGTCTGCTGCCGCCTGTGGGAAAGCCGCCTCTGCCGCCCGGTTGGACTCGGAGAGGAGGGAGATGGCCTGGCTACGCTGTCGCATCACCGACCATCTCTGGCGGTAGTGGGCCGTGAGCCTGGCTGCCGTGGTGGTGAGCCTCCCTTGCCGGAATTTCTTCCGTGCTGCGTGGGTGGCCAACATCCGGTGTCGGCTGCCATCGCCCCATAGGTCTCCACTGCAAGCCCAAAAAACCCCGCATAGCTCGGCCGTCCCTCGTACAGCCGGTGCTTCTTCTGAGAAGCTTCCTCTGCCGCCCACCCCGGCGGCCTACGTGCCCTCACATCCCTCTCCTGCAGCACCGGATCTGTCACAGTGACATCTGTCACCCATATCTCTCCCGATTCCTGGTCCTGGATCGCTAGGTCTGCCCTCTTCCTTAGGACTGGTGGCGAGAAGGCCGGGGTTTCATGGAAGGTATTGTAGCCGGCCTCCTTCGCCATGCGCAGCGCCGCGAACACGAGGGCGTTGTGAGTCCGGACCGCATCCCCCCCATCCTGGCAGCGCAGCAGATGGTTCGATAAGCTCTTATCCAAGATCTTGGACCCATGCCGCTTGCATGGGCACACCTCAGCTACTGGCAGTTCCATGCCTAGGCGGAGGCCTAGGGCCAAGGAGAACTGACCGGGGGAGATTGTAAGGTCAGCTCTCGTTGGCACCGCATGAAGCCAATCGCCCGCCCCCACCCCTTTCAGGCTAATCAGCCTTATCCCGTGCCCCCTGTGCCTGCCCGGTCTGTCCACCACGGTGTCGCCTAGGAGATCTGCCGCCCGCTGCATATTGATCTGCTTCGAGAGGCCCAGCTGCAGACTGCCTGTGCCCGTGCTGTCCGTCCTGAAATGAGCAAGGACTGCCTGTGCCTGGGCTGGGAGGCCCTCTTCTAGAGCCGACAGCGGGTTGAAATCTGGGGGGGGAGGGGACCAGTCGTGGGCCAGCAACGTGATGGCTCTGTGCAGCAAACACTCGGGGGGAAGGCCCAGCTGCTGCAGGAGGGAGTGCGCTGCTGTCACCGATGCAATATGGGCGGCTGGTGCCTCCGATATGGGGTCAATGATCCCTAGCCCGCCGAGCCGAATGGGCAGAGTCGCCTGGCGCCACAGGAGACTCTGCTCCAGTTCCTGTATCGGAATGTTCAGCTTCGCCGCCGCGAGGGCCGTGCCCACTCACGCCTCACTCCACCCCCTCCACTCTTCCATCCCCATGGCTGTCGCCGGTGTCGTCCGCAATAGGTAGGAGATGCGGCGTGAAATTCTGCGTGAGAGGATCAGCCGGGCCGCCTGAGGGTGTAGCTGGCTGACAAGGCGGAGTGGAGACGCCGCCTCCTCTAGTGACGCTCTCACACGGCTAGTGCAGAAGTCCGCCGTGCCAATGGGGCTACCCAGGACCTGTATGCCTCCCGGGTCCGCTGTTAAGCCGACGGGAAGCCCCGCCTGTTCCCCCCCCCGTATGGCACACCACGCTGATGACTTGGAGAAATTGCAACGCAGACCATAGTCTGCTAGGTCGCTGGCGATCTTCGTGAAAGCTCGGCATGCCGCTTCCCTCGGACCGACAATGGTGATGTCGTCCGCGTAGGCGACAACAGCGACTTCCGGCATTGTCACCGAAATGCTCAAAAGCGCAGGCTGGATCGCTACCGCGAACAAAAGGGGGCCTAAAGGGTCTCCCCGTCGGACGCCTCGCGAGCTCTGGACGTGATCAACGCCGAGGCGTGCATCGGTGAGTAGTCGTGTCGGACCATCGTAGAGGTTTCGGACGAGAGGGATCAAGGGGCTGAGGTGCGACCACTGTAGCGACCCTAGGAAAGCCCGCCGCTCGACACTGTTGAATGCGTTCTCTACATCTAGCTGGAGGGCGATACGCGTCTCATCCTCCCGTAAAAGCGATCGGACGGTGTGGATGACGCATTCCGCTCCCCCAGGCACCGCTACTCCGAATTGCACTGGAAGAAGGAACTCCCTAATCTTATGCGCCAAAGCGTGGAGCGCTGCCTTCGCTACGATGCGCAGAATGGCCTCCCCGATAGCTATCGGCCGAACCCCGCCATTGGGTTTCTCGAGTGCAATCAGGCGGCAAGGCAGGAGTAAGTCTCGCACGTTCTGTGCCTGGAAACTGCCAAGGAGCCGATTGACCACGTTGGCGAAAAGTAGCAGCACCTCCTCGTTGGCGAGGGCAGGATCCCTCAGGTGCTCGAAACAAGTCCCAGAAGGCCCCGCCCCAACCCCGTTCGGACATTTCGCCAGAATTTCGCGAAGGGTGTCCGGCTGGACGGAGAGGTCTGAGGTTGTGATTCCGGTAACCCAACTCGGAATTCGCGTGTCCGCTGCAGGGTGCTTCGCTTGTAGTGCCTCAAGTGTAGCTGGGGACCCCCCCAAGAGGGCTAGTTCGTAAAGCCGCGACAACTTTCGAAATGTTGCCCTTCTTCATCAAACCCTCCGCCCGTGCACAAACCCCTTCATCATCCCCCTGGTGCCGTATCGGACCTCCTATGTCGGGGATGACCCCGGCTTCCTCGTAAAGGTCAACCCACTCGCCCTTTTGAAATTTGTGAAGGCGCGCCTCGATGTGTGTCCAGCGGCTCCCAGTAACAGGTTCGGGAGCGGGCCTGAGCGTGAGCCTCGGTAGGAATTGAAGCACCAACCAGCCACCTAGGCAGCTCGGGTTCTTGTCCAGGCGATGAAGTGCGGCCAGCATGCACAGAGTGTATCTGTCCAGAATCTGGGGTGGTAAGCGGCGGACCAGGAAAGGCTGTTCCCCCTTCTGAAGGATGTGCACATTCCATGCCCCTGCAGCCAGCCAGATGGCGTCATCGCCAGCCAGGTCGGCAGGGGATGGCACATCAGTGTCCTCCGTAGCTGGTTGTTCTCCCCCCCCCGGATTATCTTGGATATTTCCCCCTGCCGCTGCACCCCCTCGACTCTGTGTGGCTCTCCTGCCCGGTTCATGCTCCTCATCCAAAGAGATTTCCTCGGACTCCTCCTCCTCACCACCCATAAACTCTGGGTCATCTCTGCAGTTGTCAAATGCGTCTCGCTCCTCATTCGCCCCGGCCTCCAGTATTTCCGGCCTATCGTGGCGTTCCCGCCAAGGGCCAGTCCTTACAGGCACATCAGATCTGACGACCGGATTGCGCCCTCCCCGTCCCCCCCACAGTCCTCCGCGCAGGCCTCCGCGCGCTCCCCTTCCAGTGCCGCCAGTGATTCCCGCCGCCACGTTGCCTGCCCCTCGGCCCGCCGGCATCCACGGTGTACGTCCGCCACGTGGCGGGCCCCAGGTGATAGGCCCCAGCCTTGTCGAGCGCCTGGTGCCAGTCTGCGGAGGTGCGATCTCCTCTGCTGCGGCCGCCACCACCGTCGCTGCTGGTGCGGCGCAGTCTCCCGTGCCAGGCTCTGCAGGTGGCGGCATCGTTGGCACGCTCACTTCGTCGGCGGCGATCTGTTGTGACGGCCCGGCCCGCGATGAGACGGACGCGTTGGCGCTTGTGGCGACTGCCCTTGCAGCAGCCAGCCCAGGAGGGGTCCCGGGGGACCAGGCCCCAGCCCTGCTCCGGGCCGCCTCGCTGCTGGCTGGGCGCGCGGCTTCTTCCCCTTCTTCCCGCGGGCGACGGGAGCAGCGACGCTCTTCCCGCGGTCCTGTCTACCGTCCCCCGCCTGGCCGTGCCCCTGCGTGCCTGCGCCCTCGTCCGCAGCAGACGTTCCGTCGGACGCAGCGGCCGCCGTCAATTCCACTCCGCCCGCCTCCCTATCCCGTCCCCCCGCCGCAGCGGTCACAACCGCAGCGATCTCAGCCGCAGCCACCGATGCCGGGGATTCCGCCAGTCCCACCTCCCCCGACTGTCCCTGCTCCGCGACCGGCCCCCGCCCCTCAGCAAGCCGAGATGCGGTCCGGGTGGCAGAGGGTGAAGATGAGCCGACGTGAGCGGCGGCGGCAGTCCCGCCAGCCCGGCCCGGGTCCGCCACACGCCCCACCGTCATCTCAACAGCCGTGGCGACCTCAGGCGCACCCCCACCAGCCGCCGCCCCAGGCTCTGCGACCGCCACCGCCGCCTCAGAACCCGCAGCCCCCGCAGCCCCCGCCCTCTCACCCGCCTCCCCATCGTTGGTTTCAGCCGCCGTTGCAGCACCAGCCACCTTCACCCCCTGTGTCCCCCGCACCTCCGTATGTTTCTCCCCGTAACCCCCCCCTTCGTCAGGCTGGTCCGTCCGCGGGCGCATTCCCTCGCCTCTTCGTCGGTGGGCGCGAGGTGCCGATACCGTGCGGGCAGTGGACTCCTCCAGCGCCGCCACCTGCTCCTGCTGTGGTTCCTGACGCGCCATGGAGTCCGACGGGCGAGGGCTCCCCTGATGGCGTCGCAGAGCGCGCAATGAACGTGGGGACGTGCTTGTCCCTGCTGTCATACCTCCTCGACCAGCTCCACCTGTGCCTGGAGCGGCAAGGGCTTGAGATCCAGGGTCTGCTGCCCACGGAGTTGGCGGCGGCTGAGGCTGCGGCGGCGGAGTTGCAGCAGTTCCTCCCCCTGATTGGGTACTGGCCTGGCTCCCCTGGTGCTGCCCTCGGGCCCGGTCCCCTGGCTTTGCTGGAGCTTGCCGAGACTGCCCGGGTGGCACCACTCGGCCTCGTGTCAGCAGCAGCATCCGTCCTGCGCTGGATGGACGGGCGACTATGCTGGATCCTCTCCGAGTAGCCACTGTCTTTCCCTTGCCGGCCACCTTGGTGTTGGGCTGGCCCTTGGGCTTCCCCATGGCTTTGTAGTTCACCCTGGGGGTGTTGTTGCTGTTGCGTGGTGTCACCCTTGCATGTTGTAAGCCTCTCTATTATGAAACTTGCCGTCCCTCTTTGCTTGTCACACCTCACGCGCGGCCGAAGGCCGCGCCGGCGAGCGACGGCCGCCGAAGGCGGCCGGCGCGAGGCGCCGTTTTTGGAGAGCCACCCAAACTCACCAGTGAAGAATGAGGCTAAAGGGAAGGATCCCATGCCTTTATGCTAGGGAATGAGGCTAGAAACTGCTAAGGACTAGGTCCTAGGGCTAAAACTGAGCTAAAACGGCTAAGGACTAGACCCTAGCCATCATCTCTCAAGCAGTCCTGCATTGATAGGTTCATAGGGGTACAGGCAAGGCAGGGATAGGTGCTAGACAGGCCTAGACACTGAAGCAACCAAACATGCAAGGCAGGTACATGGGGCGGGCAGGGCATCTGCAAGCAGACCTAAAGAACAAGGCAGGGCAGGCAAGAGGAGCAAGGCAGGCAGGCCTGGCCGGGCATGGCAAGAGCAACAAAGCCTAGCATAGCAGGCCCAGCAGGTAGGCCGACCTGAACTCATCAGGCTAGACCGTGTCCATCCCCCTCTACCCCTCTAACCCCCTCTACATGTCGTCCTCTAGGACCTGCCATAGGTCCCCGAGGCTTGGCTCCCATGGGTCCTTTCCTGCCTGGATGAACGCTGCCTCGTCCCCTAGGTTTGACTTGTTCAGGAAGGAAGTGGCCTCGGAGCGCTGCAGCATGACAGACCATCGCTGTCTGTAGTGTGCTGTGAGCCTGGCCGTCGTTGTGGTGTGCCTGCCTTGGCGGAATTTCTTCTTTGCCGCTGATGTTGCTAGCAGGCGCAGGAACTGTTGTGTGTCCGTCGCCAAGGCACCGTAGGTCTCTACCGCCAGCCCAAAGAAACCTACATAGTCAGGCTTGCCCTCGTAGATTCTGTGCTTTCCCTCAGACGCCTCCCTAGCTGCCCACCCGGGTGGTTTTCTTGCCCTTGTGTCTCGTCGTTGTAGTACGGGGTCTGTTACTGTCACATCATTCACCCACGTTTCATTGGATTCCTTGTCTCGAATGGCCAGGTCTCCTCTCTTCCTGATGACCGGGGGGGAGAAGGCAGTTGTCTCGTGGAAGACGGTGAAGTCAACCTCCTTAGCCATCCTGAGTGCAGCGTGAACTAGAGCGTCGTGTGTTCTGACCACGTCCCCGCCTTCCCCGCAACGTAGGAGATGATTCGAGAGGCTCGTGTTTGTGATGTCTGAGTTGCCACGCTTGCAGGGGCACAGCATGTCCCCTATCCGTTCCCGGTCTGTCCTGGATTGTATCTGCCAGCAGCTCTGCCGCGCGCCTCTCGTTGATGTGCCGGCTTAGTGTCTGCTGCAGGTTTCCCAGCCCCGTCGGTCGCTCCCTGTGCTCTTGCAGTGCTGTCCGTGCCGCTGTGGGGAGGCCTGTCTCAAGGGCCAGCAGCTGGTTGACCTTTGGGGGGTCTGGGGTCGATGCATGGTCCAGGAGGGTGGTTGCTCTGTTCAGGAGGTAGGAGTCTTGCAGGTTCATCAGGCGCAGTAGCTGCTGGGCTGCTGTCACCGAGGCTATGTATGCGGCCGGTGCTTCCGAGGTGGGGTCAATGATGCCCAGCCCCCCAAGTCTGACCGGCAGTGTGCCTTGGCGCCAGAGCAAGCTCTGCTCCAGCTCGCTCGCTGGGATCCTCAGCTTTGCCGCCGTGAGCGCCGCCTCCAGCAGGGTCTCGCTCCACCTCCTCCATCCCTCCCTCTCCAAGGTCTCCGCCGGTGTAGTCCGAAGCAGGTACGATATTCTGAGTGAGATGCTTCTCGAGAGAATCAGCATGGCGTGCTGGGGGTGCATCTGTGCGATCAGCGGTAGTGTTGTCGCTGCCTCGTTGAGCCGTGTCTGGGCCCGATCTGCACAGAAAGCCGCCGAGCCAATCGGGCTGCCCAGGACCTGTATGCCATCTGCGTTCCGTGGCCTGTGGTGGTGCTGTGCCGCTTTCCTCTTCCATGTTTCTGTCCCAAGCCGACGACTTGTTGATGTTACAACGCAGCCCCAGCAGACTCAGTCCCGCCATGATGTTGTTGAACGCCTCGTAAGCAGCTTCTCGGGGGCCCACAATCGTGATGTCGTCTGCATAGGCTACTATTGCTACATCCGGGTAGAACGTCGCGGCCCACAGGAGTGTTGGTTGGATCGCGGCTGCAAAGAGGAGAGGTCCCAATGGGTCTCCCTGGCGTACTCCCCTGGTGCTGTTGATGTGTTCGACGCCAAGCCGGCGATCCACTAGGAGTCGCGAGGGTCCTCCATATAGGGTGCGAACAAACGGCAGGAGCGGTAGCAGGCTAGACTGTGACAACGCCATGAAAAAGGCCGACCGTTCCACGCTATTGAATGCGTTTTCGATATCTAGCTGCAGCGCGATCCGTGTGTCGTCGTCGTTTAGGAGTGATCGTACGGAGTGGATGATGCATTCCGCACCTCCCGTAACTGCGACGCCGAACTGCACGGGGAGGAAGAAGTCGCAGATGCTTTGCGAAAACTCCCTAAGTGCTGCCTTCGCTGCGATCCGGAGGATGGTCTCTCCTATCGCAATTGGACGCACTCCTCCTCCCTGCTTTTCCAATGCTATCAACCGTGAAGGTAGGATGAGATCTCGCACCGCCTGTGTCTGGTACGTACTAAGCAGGTAGCTCACTGCCTTAGCGAGGAGAATCAGTACTGCCTCCTTGGCGTGGGCAGGGTCTTTGAGGTGTTCGAAACAGGTTCCTGACGGGCCAGCTCCCACTCCATTCGGGCATTTCGCGAGGATATCGCGGAGGTCATCAGCTGTCACTCTGATTGTCGCATGTGTATGTCCGGTTACCAAACCGGGGAGTGGCGAGCTTGCCTCCGGGTGTTTCGCTTGCAAGGCTGCGAGGGTATCCGCATTCGCTTCTGCGAGTGGCGTCGTATGTAACGCGGCTACCGCCTTTGAAATGTTCCCTTTTTTAACCAACCCTTCCGCTCTAGCACACAACCCCGCGTCATCTGCCTGGTGCCTTATCGCATCTCCAATGTCGGGGATGACACACGCCTCCGTCAAAAGATCCTGCCACCTGCCCAGTTGGAGTTGGTGCAGGCGTTCTTCAATTTCCTTCCATCTGCTCCCCTCAACTGGTTCGGGTGGCGGGCGTAAGGTCAGCCGTGGCAGAAATTGGAGAACCATCCAGGCACCTGGACAGTCTGGGTTTTTCTCGAGTCGCAGAAGTGGGGCCAGGATGCAGAGTGTGTATGAATCCAGCACTTGAGGTGGAAGTCGACGGACCAGAAAGGGTTGGTCCCCAGGTTGAAGTTGTGCTGGGTCCCACGTGGCCGCTTGCTGCCAGATGGCGTCGTCTTCTGCCAGGTCGGATGGTGAGCGAGCACTCGGTTCAGGGACTTCCCCAGCTGCGGGGCCTGGCACGATTGGCACCGCAGGTTGGTTTCTCCTCCCCGTCCTCGTTCCTGCATCGTCCCTTCTCCGAGCCTCCCTGGTCCTTTCATCCATCTCATCTTCCAGTGAACACTCTTCCGAGGCGTGTTCCTCGGATGGTTCATATTCTCCTCCCGCGTTTGCATCGTCAGAGCCTGCCGCCTCTTGATTCGCTGCTGGGAACACCTGTTCTGGGCGATCGTGGCGTTCCCGCCACGTTCCCAATCTCACTACCGCCTCTCTTCCGCCCACGATCGCACCCCCCCGTCCGCCCCTCGTTCCCCTTCCGCCGCCTCGAGCTCCCCGGGCCGCTGCTCCTCCCCGTGCTTGCGTCCCGTTGTTCCGTCCGCCCTGCTCGACCTGCGGCGCCCTCCCCGCCGGGATCCACGGGGTGTGTGCTTGACTCGGCTGAACTTCCCTCGGTCGGCCCCAGGTAAAGCCTTGTGCTCGTGTCGAGCTCCGGGTTTCCCGCTGCGGTGTATCTTGTGGCAGTTCGCCCGTTGCGGCTCTTGCCTCTCGTGGTACGTTGTTAGGCATCAGATGTGGTCGAGATTCCGCTTGCCTGACTTCCGTTTCACCTGCGTTTTCTCCCATGCCTCGTTCTCCAGATGGAGGTGGATGCCCTTGCGCTGGTGGCGGTTGCCCTTGCAGAAGCCAGCCCAGGAGGGGTCCCGGGACGCCAGGTCCCAGCCCTGCTCCGGGCCGTCTCGGCGCTGGCTGGACGCGGAGCTTCTTCCCCGTCTTCCCGCGAGCGGCGCAAGCAGCGGCGCCAGTCCCGGGACCCGGTCTATCGCTCCCCGCCCGGCCGTGCTCCTGCCTGTTTGCGGCCACGCCAGCAGCAGACGTTCCGGCGGACTCAGCGGCAGTCGGCGCAGTCTCTTCGTTCGGGGGTACTCCCTGTCGCCTCGTCGCTCCAGTCACGATCGCAGCAATCTCGACCGTCCCGAGCGGTGACGGGGATTCAGCCAACGGCACCGTCTGTACCTCCTCCGCAGCCAGGCCCCCGCCCACAGGTAGCAGCGGCGCCGTCGGGCTCAGCGCCGAGGGTGAAATTAAGCCGCCGTCAGAGGCGGCAGCAGTCTCTGCAGCAGACACTCCCCCCGCCGTTCCCACCACTTGTGTCCCCTCCCGTGCCGTCTCCGTCACCTCAGCCGCAGCAGCCACGTCAGTCTCCTCCAGCGGCGTCGCCGCCCCAGGCTCCGGCGCATCCGCCTCCGCCGCGAAACCAGTTTCCGCTGCCTCAGCCCCAGCTGCATCTGCCGCCGACTCCCAGGTGTTGCTATTCCCTCACGTCCCGCTAGCTCCCCGTGCTGCAGCTGCTCGTGTGGCTGCGACGCCTCTCCACGTCGAGCAGCGCGTAATGCTCGTGGGGACGTGTCTGACGCTGCTGTCGTACGTCCTGGACCACCTCCACGTGTGTTAGGCGCGCCAGAGTGTCGAGGTTGGGGGGATGCTACCGTCGGAGCAGTCAGCGGCAGTGTCGGCGGCAACGGAGATGCTGCATTATCTCCCCCTGATCGGCCTTGTGCCGGGCGCCCCTGGTGCAGCGCTCGGGCCCGGCCCCGGGGCGATGTTGCGGCTCGCTGAGTCAGCCCGTGGGGCCCCTCTCGACCTTGTATCAGCAGCCGCATCCGTCCTGCGCTGGATGGACGGGAGGCTGTGCTGGATACTCGCCGAGTAGCGGCCGTTTTCCCCTTGCTGGCCTCCTTGGTAGCGGGCATGGCCTTGGGCTTCCCCATGGCAGTTACTCCACGCCAGGGGGTGTTGTTGTTGAAGTGTGCTGTCTAGTACTCCATGTTGTACTTCCCCTTGCTATAGTCCTTGTTTTCCTTTAATCTTGCCACACCTCACGCGCGGCCGAAGGCCGCGCTAGCGAGCGGCGGCCGCCTTCGGCGGCCGGCGCGAGCCGCCGGTTTTTTAGGGTGAACTGAACTCACCAGTGAAGAATGAGGTCAAAAGGGTGCATCTAAGGACTTTATACTAGGGCACTAGACTAAAAAACGGCTAAGGACTAAGAACTAGGACTAAGAGGCTGAAAAACGGCTAAGGACTAACCCCAAGCCATCTCTCTCTCTCTCACTCTCTCTCGAGCGAGCTGCCGTTTTTGGAGAGCCACCCAAACTCACCAGTGAAGAATCTCTCTCACTCTCTCTCTCTCTCACTCTCTCTCGAGCGAGCCACCGTTTTTGGAGAGCCACCCAAACTCACCAGTGAAGAATCTCTCTCTCTCTCTCACTCACCTCTCTCTCACTCTCTCTCTCTCTCCCTCTCTCTCTCTCCCTCTCTCTCTCTCTCCTTCTCTCTCTCTCTCTCCCTCTCTCTTTCTCTCTCTTTCTCTCTCTTCCCCTCTCTCTCTCCTCTCCCTCATTCCGTGTTTTTTTTTTTTTTTTTTTTTTTTTTTTTTTTTTTTTTTTTTTATTATTATTGCTTCTCGCGGTCCTTGCTTCGTAATTCACCCTTGGCCAATTCTCCTCCATGGCTGCCTTCCTCAAGAGGCGGTTGGGTATTGGCTTGCCGTGCTATCCGTCCTCCCTCCTCTTGATATCCTTTTATTAATCCACACAAAGGCATACAAGCCTAGGCCTACACCATAACCAGCCCCTACGGCTGCCATTTTGTCCTGGCCCCCATGGCCAATGCTACTCTCCAAGGCTCCTAACCAGCCTACGCACCCCCGGTGCATCCACCTACGCCCCCCGGCATAGTGGCAAGGGGCGCCGCCCCATGGGTCCTTTCACACCACGGGTGCGGGACCTTGTGCTCCACGCCCTCCCATGGGCAATTTTTTGCCATATGGCCAGGCTGGCCGCAACGGAAACACACTCCCTTGAAGCGGGGCTCGTGGCAGCCCGCGGGTGGCATGCCCTTGCTTTCCGGTTCGCCGTCTCGAGGGGGAAGGCGGCCTCCGCGGGCGAAGCCGGTGCGTCGGCTACCGCGAGCTTGAAAGAGCGGGACGTGAGCACGCTCTTGGCTTGGTACAGCTGGAACCGATCCGTCGCCTCGAAACCGGACTCATCCGCCACCAAGAGCACCTCGAAACGTTTGTTGATCAACGTTTCGACTTGCTCCACGTTGGAGAGTGCGCCCTCGACGTCGCCGTGTCGGAGCTTGAACTCGACGTGCCTCAGGTGAGCTTGAATTGCAGAGAACACCTCCGCCTGGTCACGCACTCCCTTGCGCATGAAGGTAGTAGCTGCGGGTGTAGGGTTGAGGGGGGGAAGGGGAGGTGCGGGTGCGAGAATGCGACGGCGAGCAAGATTGTCGGGGGCCTCACCGTCTTCATTTTCCGAGTCGTCGCTGTCGTCGGGGATACGGGCTTGGGTTGGTGCCGGAGCCGAGGCGGGAGCAGGAGCAGCGTTGTTGGCGCGAGCGACCTTCGTGGAGCGGGGGGGCGCTACAGGTTCCTTCTGCTTTTCAATTTTAGCGGAAGCAGAAATGTCTTCAGTCGATGTAGCTGTAGTCGATGGCGCGTGCTGCTGCAATAACGAGAGCAGCGCCTGCAGCTGTTGCGCGGTCAAAGGGGGGGGGGGGGGGGGGGGGGGGGGGGGCGTTGACCGGCGTGACGTCAGCGGAGGGTGCCGCGCGCTGGCGTTTCTGGGTCATGGGCCCGGATGGACCCGCGTCAGCGGCGGTCAAGACGACTGCCGCGTCAGCGGCGGTCAAGACGACTGCCGCGTCAGCGGCGGTCAAGACGACTGCCGCGTCAGCGGCGGTCGTCGTCTTCTGCGCGGCACGCGCATGCCTGCCAGGCACGTGCATGCCTGCCAGGCACGCGCTCTTCAACAGCAGCCACGCGCGACTGTACAACAGTCGCGCGTTCCTCTGGGGGGGTCCGAAGGGTGCCTCCGAGCAGGAGGTCGACCGCCGAAGGTCCCTCGCTTGAAATTTCTTCGGCGGGACGTTTTCTGCCGCGACGATCCGAAGTCCTGGCCGGAGTCGAGGTTTCCGCCGCGTTACCGGGGCTTGAAATATTCGAATTGTCGCGGTTAGGTGCCGGGTTGACGGGAGCCATCGTTGCGAGGTTGCGCTTAAGGATGTCGTTAGGAGCGTTGACGGGGCAGTGAAGCGCGGAAGCGACTGAGTCTTCGCCAGTGTGGACGAGAACGAAATTAGAACTACAATTTCAGAAATGAAAACGTGGGTGGGGACGAATGTCCCCACGTCCCTCTTTTGTAGGCAAAAGAGGGTGAGTAGCGCTTCGACGCTACCTTTGTTGTGTTGGCCACGTACCCCTTTTCACAATACAAAAATTTAGAAAGTGTTAGGGTACATTCCGCTGTGGACACTTTCTCAAAGAACACATGTCCCAATCACATTTGGCCCGAGTCGCCTTCAAATGTCTCGGGGCTGCATGTCCCAATCGTTCGATGTATTGCGACTCTGCACAGACGCGCGACAAATATATGCGAACTACTCTGATTGGTCAGACCATATGGTGGCCCACTCATCTTAGCTGTCACACGCACCAACACCACCAGGCCCGCGATAGAACCTTGGTGGTGTCCGGGGAGGTCGCGGAGGGTTATTAAGTTTCCGCGCCTCCAATAATTGCCACAACGAGCCGTACAATATCCAGCACGCGGTCACAAAGAGTGGCTAGATAAAGTAAACAAAGCACAACCGCCACCACTACCCACGCATGACATACGCAAAATGGCGGAGCCTAGAGCCATCCCCTTCATCCTACGCCTACTCGTCGCATGGGTCACCTACTACTACACCATTTTTTACGAAAGTGTTGCCAAGTCCTTCGTCGGCATGATTGAGGCCGGTGTGCTCGAAGACGCCGACGAGCAGACCTCTTCTCTTGGGGACGATACCAGGGAGAACCGCCGTCACCGAGCCAGAGTACGGCGGCAACGCCATGCGCTGTGGGTTGACGACCTGCAACATATGCGGGAGAACGACTTCCAGGACATATTCAGAATCAACCGCGCCATCCTTGAGCATATCAAGACAGGGATGCGCCAATATCTAGAGCCAATCGTTTATCGGTCAGTGATCACAATGGACACTGCGTTGCTCATCCCAATCAAATATCTGGCGAGCGGGATCTCCTTCGTCGACATGTCGTACCTCTTCGGCGTCTCCAAAACATTGTGCCACGAGCTTGTCGACGTGTTCCTCACCGAGTTCCCCGCCTTGTTCAAGGCCGCCTGGGTGCGCTTTGTGAAAAAAGAGGAATGAGTGGACTAGAACAGGGTTGGGTACAAGTAGGAAACCCTAGAAAACTGTACCCCTTAGTGTCTACCCCACTATAGCCTAGACAAGTTATATGATAAATGTTTGACACACCCCCATAGGCAAAGTGGGGGAGAACAAGAGGTCACAAGACCAGTCAAGCAAAGCACAGCAAGCTTAGGGTGGATCACAACGTCACCACACATTCCGAGCACAAGTTCAAAGGCCACAAGGCCAGTTCACATGCAGGATTATATATAAAGGTAAACATGCAAATGCAGGTATATATAGATCACAGTACAAAGCAAAGTCAAGAGGTAAGCAAGTGAGGCCAAGTAGGTACAAGACCTAACATAGTACAGAACCGCTGATGATCACACGGCTGAAGTGCCTTGGTGGAGATATCAGCAGTGTTGGCCCGAGAGGCCACGTAAGCAAGGCGCAGCTGACCACGCTGCTGCAGCTCACGAGCAAGGAAGTACCGAAGAGCAATGTGCTTCGTTCTGTGCTCCAGTCTGTGCTCCCGACACAAGGCCAGCATGGCCTTGTTGTCTACGTACAGAACTGGAGGAGAACGAGGCGGCTCTCCGAGGTCAGTCAGCAGGTAGGTGAGCCAGCGTAACTCATGTGCAGCCATGGCCCCAGCGTAGATCTCAGCCTCACAGCTAGAGCTCAGAACAGAAGACGAGCGGGTAGACCGCCACGAAACAGAGCCGGAACCAAGGCTGAAGGTGTAACCCTGTGACGACCGCTGCGTAGCCAAGTCGTCAACCCAAGACGCGTCTGCGTGACCAGTGAGGACCACTGGACTCCACCCTCCAAGCACTAGCCCCATGCCCGACGTACTGCACAAGTAGCGCAACACCCTCTTCGCTGCAGCCATGTGCTCTGGTCGATGTCTCCCAGGAGCAACATAGCGTGCCAAGATGCTAAGAGGGTATGCCAGGTCAGGTCGAGTGCAGGTCATCAGGTACGTGAGGCAGCCAACAAGCTCTGGGTACGGGTCACTCGGCTCTATGGACTCATCCGAAGGCAGAGCTGAGAGCAAGTGGCGAGTAGACAGAGGAGTGGCCTGAGGCGAGGAGTACGTGAAGTCGAAGCGCTGAAGGACCTACTGCAC